ATAGATAGATAGATAGATAGATAGATAGATAGATAGATAGATAGATAGATAGATAGATAGAAAAAAGGATAAACAGATGATGCTGTCACTGCAAAAATCCCAAGGATGAAAATCTGAGTGTGTGTATCAGAGCAACCTAATTTTATAAACTCCAACAACTACTTGATTTGTTACAGCAAAATCCTAGTGATTTTTGCCGTGCATAAAATCAAATGGGTTGAATAATACCTTTGTCTTATAGCTGGTATCAGCAGTATCAAAATTGCATTAAGTCAAGCATATTTTGATCGGATTCACATCAGATAAGCAGTATTTCATTAGATTTACATGTAATCAATAATAATTAAATCAAATTCGCATTAAATCAACAGCGTACCTTCATCAAACTGACACAGAGTAAACGATATTTCCATGAAACATATATCAAACAAACATCATATTTTGTTGAATCTCATCAGATACTTTTTTTCTGTAAACATCTCACAAAAAGCAATGTCCGTGAAGTGCATTGACACAACTCCATAATAGTCTGAGGTGTCTTCTTCTCCTTCACTGAATTAACAGGTTTCAAACAGAGGCGTTACCCTAATGTTGCACGAACCAGTTTATGAATGCTTTTATAAGTTCTTTGCTTTTTGCGGTCTAGTTTGGCAACACTGGTCAGAATGCAGTCACTTCCCTTCGGATTAAAGAATGAAATTAAGAAAAAAAAAAAAAAATCTGGAATAACGCGGACGTCCTCGTACATGCAGTTGGCCGGCGTGTCCGACCAGGCCAAGGCGAGGCACACGGCTAGCACTGCACCACGGAACTGAGAAGATGATACTCATTGATTATTGTTAATATATAAATTAAGCCTAATGACTTCAGAATGAGGATCATAACATTGACACCCAAATAACTGCAAACACATGTACATAGACATATCAACGAGCATGCACACACACATGCTTAATACATGTGTTTAGGTGTGCCTGTTTACAAAACACACACACTTTTTGATATTAGGTTTTTTTTTTTACTTCTATTTATCTCCATCAAGTTTATCAAGAGAATTAAGGAGTAATTTATGCTTATCTGCAGACTGATAGATTACAACAATTATCATATCTTTATTGAGCTGGATTGTGTTGTGATAATGGAACCAGGGTTAGTTTTTTTATATCCTTGAAGTAATTTGATCGGAGATACATAATGATATGCACACACTTATATACACAAAATATTGTACAATAAGTTCCATATAATTTCAAGTATGTCCCTGTGGATGACAGAACTGTTCCTTTTAACAAATAAATAAATAAATGAATAGATAAATAAAATATAGAGAGAACCAACTTCTATTCAATTTCAAGTACATTTCATATAATTCTTTAGAAGCTAATTGTGTTCAACCATTATTGAAGGACATTTTGAGCCTCTCAATTTTTCTACAGCTTTCTACACGAGATTTTCTTCGCTTCTAGTTATATCTGTGGCGAGGTATGTGTCTAGGAATATAAATTTGGGGCCTTGTAATTAAGGAAAAAATCAATGACTAAATCAGAAATCCTGATACTTGACATGACGTGAACGAATCCTGTAACGTGTCCCAAATCTAGTGCAGCTTGCAAAGCAAAGCGAAAATTGCAAAATCTGATAGCTATAGCTTGACCTGTCAAATGATGTGATACAGTGTTCAATATCTGTGTCAAAAATCGTCAAAGCTGAATAATAAAAAAAAAAATCTGGAATAGTGATTTCACAAATACTCTAGGCATTTTCAGCAGAAACATTCATGGAAGTCCTTTATCAGGGCGTCAATGAGTAGCCCATTTGCTGCCAAAGACCCACCTGTGTTTTATTTGATTTAACCAGCCTTATATCAAGAAAGTCGCTCATATTATATTTCTAGTGCGTTGAATGAATCTTACGGCTTTTTGTCTTTATACGTTATAAACGGATTCCTTTGTTGAGTTATCTGGCCCGCATAGGAGTACTCATATTATATCTAGCATGTGTGTGTGTGTGTGTTCATATATACATACACACACACACACACACACACACACACACACACACACACACACACACACACACACACACACACACACACACACACACACACACACATATATATATATATATATATATATATATATATATATATATATATATATATATATATATATATATATATATATATATATACATATCAACGGCATGCATTCCATAATTTTGGAAAGTGAGTTGAACAAAACAGATTGCATAAAACCAAAAATCCCTCCTTTTGGCCGACGGAGAAAGAGCGAGAACTCACCAACATCGTAGCGGGTTTTCCAGAGCAGATGCCTCTCTCGTCGAGCTTTATATCAGCTTCGGTTTTCGTAAGGCCTCCCTTTATCGTGAGAAACATGCAAGTGTGTTTAAATGTCTGCCCTGATTAGGTAGCCTTTATACACTTGCATGGGAAAACGTGGTATTTTGCTGATATTGTAATCTGTGTTCTCCAGTGCATTACCTTTGTCTGTGGTAAACTTACAAGCAGATACACAGAAGTCTGTACAAAGATCTAACGTGCACACACAAATATTTTACTTTTGAGTCCTATTTTCTCTCCCCTCCATATCTCTCTCTCTCTCTCTCTCTCTATGTCTATATATATATATATATATATATATATATATATATATATATATATATATATATATATATATATATATATATATATATATATATATATATATATATATATATATATATATATACATATATATATATATATATATATATATATATATATATATATATATATATATATATATATATACATAATTTATCTATATATATCTCTGTTTGTCTATTATTTCTCTCGCTTTTTCTCTCTCATATCTCCCTCTTTTTCTCTCTTCATCCCTTCCCTGTCTCTTCCACTTCTGCCCCTTTGTTTCCTAACTTACTCCCGCATGTCACAGTCTCACGAAGAAAATAGCTAAACACTCTAACACACATGAATCAAACCCAAACCAAGAAACATATATTTTGCACTCAAGTTATCTTACTTAAGTGTGCATAAGAGTGCATGCAATTTCCTGTCACCCATTCTTTGCACAGTGGGGGAAAATGTCGGCAAAGTTTATCTTATTAAAGTGTCGCCGCCTCTACGTAATATAGCACAGATGGCAAGAAGATCACGGCGAGTTCTCTATTATTATATACCCAGTGTTATTTGCGTGATTCTTGTACTGTCTCTCTGTTGTGTCTTTAACACGATAATGTTTGTCATTTTTGTAGATTATGAGGAAACTGTCAATTATTATGGTAGATTTTTTTGTTTTTCTTTGTCGTTATGGGCACGTGCTGTTTGTGAAGGAAGATGAATTCTTGTTTTGTTTTTCAAATATTTCGTTCGAAATGCAACTCGAGCTTCGATGATATACAAATACATTGCTTATTTGTACGCCCAAGTATGATTTTTAATATGTCGTCTTGAAAATGACTTTGAAATTAATAACAAATATTGTAGTTAGCTATAAACACAAATACGCTGTTTATCGACCGCGTCTTTGTTGAGGTCTAAACTGCATCAGCTGTTCGGTCATGCCGAGGAAAAGAAAAGTGTCAGTAATCATGATAAAGAAAAAGTTTTATACGTGGAATTTTCACATACTGATAATGTTAATGATAATTTTGATGTGGATGGTGATGATGATGATAATAATAATAATGATAATAATAATAATAATAATAATAATAATAATAATAATAATAATAATAATAATGATAATAGTAATAATAATAACAACAACAACAACAATAATAATAATATTGATAATGCTGATAACTATAATAATGATAATGATAATGAAAACAATAATAATAAAAATAATGATAATACCGATATTAACATGATAAGGATAATAATGATAATAATGATAATAATAATAATAATAATGATAATAATAATAATAATAATAATAATAATAATAATAATAATAATAATAATAATAATAGTAATAATAATAATAATAATAACAACGATAATAATGATTATAGTATTTATATCAATAATGATAAGAGGAGGATAATGAGAAGGATAATAATAATAATAATAATAGTAATAGAAATAATAACAATGACGATAATGATAATGATAATGATGATAAAGACAATAATAATAATGATAATAGTAATGATAATAATGATAATGGTAATAATGATAATGATAATAACAGTAAATGTAATAAAAATAATAATAATAATAATAATAATGATAACAGTGATAATAATGATAATGATGATCATGATAATGATAATAATTATAATAATAATAATAATAATAATAATAATAATAATAATAACAATAATAATAACGATAATAATGATAATAATAATAGCGATAATAATTATAATAATAATAACGATAATAATTATAATAATAATAACAACAACAAGAACAACAACAGCAACAACAATAATAATAATAATAGTAATAATAATAATAATGATAAGAACAGTAATGATATAATAATAATGATAATGATGATAATAATAATAATAATGATAATAATGATAATAATAGTAATAATAATGATAACAATAATAATAATAATAATAATAATAATAATAATGATAATGATAATGATAGTAATAATAATGATGATGATAATGATGATGATGATAATGACAGATGATAATAATGGTTACAGTGATGCGAACGATAACAACAACAATTATCATAACAATGAAACAATATTCATGATTATGAAAACAAACAAACGAAAACACAATACACCCTCCCTCCCTCCCTCCCTCCCCATCCCATTGCCCCTTCCCTCCCTCCCTCCCTCCCTCCCTCCCTCCCTCCTCCCTTCCCTCCCTTCCCTCCCTTCCTCCCTTCCTCCCTCCCTTCCTCCTCCTCCCTCTCCTCCCTCCCTCCCTCCCTCCCTCCCTCCTCCCTCCCTCCCTCCCTATTCCATTCCCTTCCCTCCATCCCTCCCTCCCTCCCTCCCTCCCTCCCTTCCCTCCCTCCCTCCCTCCCTCCCTCCTCCCTTCCTCCCTTCCCTCCCTCCCTCCCTCCCTCCCTCCTCCCTCCCTCCCTCCCTCCCTCCCTTCCTCCCTCCCTCCCTCCCTCCCTCCCTCCCTTCCTCCCTCCCTCCCTCCCTCCCTTCCTCCCTCCCTCCCTCCCTCCCCTCCCTCCCTCCCTCCCTTCCTCCCTCCCTCCCTC